TTTTAATTTTTTTTGGTGAAATCTAAAATTTCATTTAGGTTTTAATGCTAGATATAATACGAAAAAAGGATGGGTTATGAATTGCTTAATTATATGTATAGTCATGATTTTAACATTAAGTTAAACCTTTTCTTTTGGTTTTGTTTTCAGTTCACAAATTTTATTTTTAGAGCTCAACGTGTTGTGGAAATTCTCAAAATAGTGACTAGCAAAAATGTTGCTATGTCAACAACGCTAATTGAAATAAATCAAATGATGTTAAATAACTTGAGATATGTGAACCATGAGATCAAAAACATTATTCTCTCAAAACTTCCTAAAGATCTCCACAGAATTGTCCTGCAATCGTTTAATCAGAGCAAGAGATTAGAAGCTCTGAATTCTGTAAAAACAATAACTGACATCTTAAGAGTTTTGAAAATGATCTCGTCTGGATTCCACAAGTATTGCATTGCCTAGATGAGGATGGAAAAGATATTGAGGATCCTTGTGAGGAGGGAGAAGATTTCTACTACGTTCCAGTAGTAGAAACCTTGAAATCTATTCTAAATGATGACTCTTTCGGAAATCTTCAAGTTTAGGTAATGATGTTTTATTGTTAATTTCAAAACTTCCCTAAATAGTTTTACGCCTTTTTAATTGCTATGAAAATATGAAAGTTTTGAATTCACTGCTTAGGATCCATTTAATTTAGATTCGGATCTGGATCCGCACTGGAAAAAAATGGATCCGGATCCATGTGCTTTCTTTAAAATTTACTGAAGTTTATTTAACAAATCAGTTTTGTGTCTTATTTCTTTTCTTTTTTTTTTGCAGAAACTTGTAATTAACTTGATATAGAAATCAGGAAATTTTTAAAAACTCCCTTTTTTCAACAGTTCAGATTTGAGCTTTGAGAGTAAAAATAATTTTTTTTGAGTTTTTGGTTGATATTTTGCCTGAATCCGTAGATCCGCATATTTTGCGGATCTCAATCTAGGAGCCCAAAATCTTGTTGATCAAACAGATCTGGATCCTAAGCACTGATTTTGATATTATTATCAAAGCGGTTTTTTGGTAATTGCTGAAATTTCTTTTTTTTCTGAAAATCACTTATTTTTTCTAGAAATGAAGAGAACGGGTGTTATGCTAAACATCAGGGATGGATAGTTGTATAAGAAATTACAACTTGAAAATGAGGTTTGTACTGATATTTTACTATTTTTCTGATATAAACAAGATAAATATTTAAGTGACCCTGCGTTTTAGTGCATCATATTTTATATTTAGTTTTAAACATAGTTATAAACCTTCTATTATTTTAATACTTTTGAAAACACAAAAGTATGCTAATTTTGATCATTTTCTTCATCTTAATTCTGTAACCTTCTGTAACTAATAAAGAAATCACAATAAAAAAATGTTAAGCTTTAACTGGCAAAATATTGTTATTTCATTCATTCCAGAAAATAAATAAATTGCTGTTAAGGACACTTGTGAGTATGACTACATAACATCCTTGGATCCTAAACATTCTGGATTTGAAACCTCAAACTGATCTGGGTCAAATAAATTATTTGTTTCAACATTTTATTGGGGGGTCCATCTGGGATCCAGATCTGCATCAAAATAAAATAAAACTCTTGACATTTCTTCCCCGACACTACAAATTCTCATTCAAAAAAATTCTTCATGACTATTATTATGAAAAGCATATTTGTAGAAAAACTTGTTATTTGTGTTTATTTTTTAGAATTCAGTGATCCGGTTTACAGTGATTTTGTACTCAGATGAAGTAGAACTTGCCAATCCTCTAGGAATTTAATACAAATAATTCTTTAAAAAATAAAACTAACAATTTCTTTATTTCAGTTTAACTTATTTGATTGGAGGTAATACAAACCAATCAAATAAGAAACATAATAATTCATTCATAATGTAACAAATGGAAATTTTATTAGAAAATAAACTTGATTTCTTCATTGTATCAAACAGGAGCAGCAAAAACTAAGCACAAGATCCGGCAATTTTTCTTCACTTTAGATGAAATTCCTACTTTTGACAGGTCAGAGATTTATTTATTATAAAAAGGTGGCTAAAAGTAGTAAGTATATGAATAGTATCTTCAAGTTGAATCTTCAATATTAAACTCATCCTGACATTGTTTGGGTGGAGGGTTGAAATACATAACCCTAAAACCAAAGTTTCCTAATTTTGCTAAAATTGTTGAAATTTTGTTTAGTCGAAGGTCTGGTGAGGGGAGGAAAATAATTTGATGGGGAATATTCAGAGTTTATATCGGTGTCTTTTAAGAGGGAGGGGGCACAGAGCCGCCATAAGCCCTTCAAAATGACTTCCGGAGCCTCCAGATTTGTAGAATAAGCTCCTGGTCAATCAAAATCATTCGCATGTCTTTTGATCATGTTTTCGTATAAAAGGCTTTTGGTGGATGTAACAGCCTTCTGTTATTGGAGATAAGAAGGCTGAACGTGGAGTTAAAGTATCGGAGGATTGAAGCAAAGCGTGTAGTGGGACAGGGACGATTTTGATTGGATAGGTCATTATGCGAATCTTGCTGCTCAGGAGGTCATTTTGCATGGCTCATGGCAGCTCTGCGCCCTTTCTTTACTCTGGTACATCAAATTTACAAGAGATAGCTTTTACATGAGTGATGATCAACTTTTAGAGCGTATAAAAACGATGATAATTTCATAATTTTTTGCCGAAACCAAATTTTTAAGGGTATTTTAATGAATGAGGCATCAAATAGAATATCTCTTCTTCTAAAGATGTGTCAATACTTTTGTTGATGCATTATGTACGAGAAGGGTTAGTCTTTGAAGGGTTAACATCCCAGCTTTGGCATTCTTTCAATGTAATTATTAATTGTAAACATTTGTATTTTAGATCTAAGCTTCAGTAATTTTTCTGGTTGGAGTTGGAAAATCAAAAATGTCTTTAAATAGACAGTTAAAGTTCCTTGCTTAAGAGTTTAAGCTTCTTGAAGATGAGATCAAGATAGGTGACGTTACAATCAAAGCCAATCTTATAGCATACACAGGTAATGTGTAAAGTTGATTTAATTATGAACACGCACCCTGCTGAATAATAATAATATCATTTTTATTATCTTCATGAAAGGCGAAGTTAAATAAATAAACTTCTCATGATAAATTTTAGTTTAATTTGATTTTTATTTCACGCTTTTATCTCTCAGACCTGCTGAAATTATTTCAAGTGTATACATTTTCCGGGGGGTATATTTCTTCATCGTTAATAAAAATATTTTACCCTATAACTAATTTAGCTTCTTCTAAAAATACATTTTGGCTGTCGGGGACTAAAAAAGTTTTCGAAAGGGGCGGAGGGATTACAAATATACAAAAATATATATATAAAATATATTAAATTTTAAGGAGACAATCTAGAGCAGCATGCGGTCGGAGGATTCCGTAAATGCTGGAATAGTGGCTTGGTCTGCCAACGTTGTACTATACACCACTCAGATCTTCAAGATGAAGATGGGTTTCTCCGACACACTCCTTGGTCCTCCCCTTCGCAGCAGTCCTGCATACTGTCCAGCAGGAGATTTGTTGTGGCCTCAAAACTTCTTAAATCGTTTAAAGGACAAGATCCATTAATCTCAGCAGATTAATGGATCTTGTCCTTTAAACGATTGAAGAAGTTTTGAGGCCACAACAAATCTCCTGTTGGACTTTATGCACGACTGCTTCAAAGGTATGACATTATAACATCTTAAAATGTCTTCGCACTTTACCCATAAAAAACCTTTCAATCTAAAAAAAATATCTTTAAAAAAATGTAAACCAATAAAAACAAATTTTATCACTAGCTTTTAAGAAAAACAAATAATATTGTTGGCAATTAACATTCTTTAGGATATATGTTTTTTTGTTTATAATAAATTTATTATATGATAACTTTCAGGTGGTATATCAGAAGACATTCCTGGGTTGTTAAAGATTCTGATGCGGACTCATTCTTTTAGTGTAGAAGACTACAATGAAAGCTTGAGAAATACTAATTTCTCTGAAAGTGAAAGGCGGGATATTCCTCTTCCTCTTAGAGAGAACTTTGTCAAACTTCAAGGAAAAGCTCTCAGCATAGCCGTACATGTCAGGTAAAAGCAATAGTAAATTTATCTCTTACAGATACCCTTAAAACATGTCTCATAGATATTGCTGTTTTTCTAAGTTTAAAATTTGGTAAAATTTTGATGGTTTCCTTTATTTTCCTGCTTGTGAGAATTGTGAATGTTAATTATACTGAAAAACCACAGTCTGAGTTTTTAAATTAACCAGGGTATTAACAATTCTACAACGGTTATTGTCATCTTGCATGGAGCGTCAAGTGAAATTACGCTGACAGTCCCTTAAGGATAATTTTTATAGGAATATGCCGTTCATCCTCAGAAATTTGGTTGAATGGAGAGACACATCTGAGGTTAGTTAAATTTATTTTCCGGTACTTAGGATCCTATTCGTTGTAAAACAGTTAATATATGTAAAAAATGTATTTAATGATTTGGTGGATGTTTTGACACTTAACTCGGCTTGCAGATTTTTTTTTATGAATTCATATCAGCTTTAACATAGCATTGTATTTTAAGTTGGCGTCTGATGATCCCCTGTACCTTCTTCTACTGATCCACTCAGTATTTGAGTATCTGTTTGCAGGGATGCATTTCATAATATTCTTCATCAAGTTTCTACATTGTAATTTAAAGCTAACCCTTATTTACTTGATTCAGAAAGGCACCATTTCATAATCACTTTTCATTTCCTAAAAAAAATCTAATAAGTTATCTGATTTAATTCTGTTAACAGGCATTTAGCCAGTTTTCATTTTTTTTTTATATCTAACTTGTTCGCATGATTATGTATCCACCAGATTGCTTCTCAGATTTCATGGTGGATAAATTTATCGATGTAATTCAAAACTTGTTTCAAGGTATGTAAATAAATTTCTTCTACCACTTAGTCCAGTACAACAAATAAAAACTTTTCAAGTGAGAACAAAACGGGGGTATGTGTTAAATTATTCCTCTCATTTCAAAAAATTGTTATTCAAAATTAATATCCATTGAAAATAATTCTACTTCTAAATTTAAGGTTTCAGATTTTTACTCTTAGTGAAAGCTTTTTTAAAACCATTATATTTATAATTATTTATAACTATGTTACAGAGAAGTTGGGGGATTAGACGCTATTGCAGGGGGGGGGGGCGTTGAGTAGAGTGACTTTTACTGAAAGCAGAAATCTTTCAAATTAAATATTTCAGCCCGGCTTAGAATTGTAGAGAAATATCCAGGATATTTAGGAAGACTAAAACCGAAACATCATTATTTGGTAAAGTTTTTTACAGCGCTTAGGATCCAGATCCGGCTCCGTTGGATACGCAAGATTTTGGCTTCCTGGATCCGGATCCGCATCCACGGATTCGGATCCAAGGGGTGAAATATCAACCAAAAAATGCAAAAAAAAATCTTTTTAGTCCAAAACCCCAAATCTAAATTTTTGAAAAAGAGAGATTATAAAAATTTCCTCATTTCTGAATGGTTCATCAAGTTTTAGGATAACAAAATTTTTTATTAAAAAAATTCAGTAAATCTTGACCTGGATCTGGATCCATTTCTTTCCAGTGCGGATCCAGGATCTGGATCCGGATCCGGATTTGCATAAAAATTAAATTGATCCTAAGCACTGGTTTTTTATGTATATTTTTTTTAAATTTTCTCGTTTTTCTATTTTCGCATTTTGATTTAAATCCATATGAGGCAAAATATCCTAATTAATGTGAAATCTCTTTGCTCATAATAATATTTTTATGTGTACTTGTTTTTCGTGTATTTTCGTCAAAATCGACCAAAGTTATTTCTTTTGAAAATTTTTAATTACGCCTTCCGACGCCCTAGAAAAACTTTAAAGGCCATTAAAGATAGCAGGAGATCTTGGAGAATGCGATTCCGAATTTGCTTGCATTTTTTTATGGAACACATTGGTACCCTGGGGGTAACTTAAAAATTCATGATTTGGTTTTCTAAAATGGCACTTATGGTACTGAAACGAAAGGGGCATCTCATTTTTTGTTTTGTTTTAAATTCTTGAACAATAATTAACTGTTCTAGGTTCATTACCCAGCTCAAATTCTAGAGATGGGGCCCCTGCTGCTGTCCAAACGGACAGCAAGGCCAGAATCCTAACACAGAGGAATATAGTTTAACTTAATCATAAGTAAATCAATTTTACATTCGCCAAAAACCTTCGTTCTTTAAAAGTTAGTCTGTCCCTAATAACACAAATCAATGCATTAAATTTTTTTTTTTAAATTCTTAAGTTAAATTTATTTCTTTAGGCTACAAATACCATGGATACTTCAAAGAACTTTAAGGTTTTACTTTCTCTATTATTAAAGTTTTTTTTTATTATTTTGTGAAATTCAAAGGTTTTCTTTAATATATTTTCTCAACTTAACTAAAATGAATTTAGCTGAGAGCTTGTGTAAAGAAATTGTACCTTTTTAAAAAAGAGTTAAGTGCATCTTGATAAATGTTGATAAATGCTTGGCTATCATTATTAGCTGAGAAATTTGATCTAACCCAAAGAATACACAAAATTCTCTATTTCTATATTAAGATAAAAAAAATAAGAAATTTGATCAATGTTTTTATTTAGAACGTACCACAGCACATATCAACTCGTTCGCAGTGGAGGTTTGCTTGCAACATGTATGATGGAATTTTTTCTTCAATACCTTCAAGGTTACTGTAAAGTTGAGATATTTAAAATATATTTTTATTACTAGGCAATTTTTATTTTGAATAAAAGTAGGTCATAAGTTTTTAAATTGGCAAGCTAAGAGCTATATTGAGAATAGTTCAAAAATGGCATAGAATCAATAAAATTATTAAAAATATTTAACTAAAAACACCGAATTCAGGAAAATTGATTTCTCAGAGATTTACTAAATAAAACCATACAAAACAGAAAGTAAATACCCCTGTCTTTTCTTTTATCAGAGGAGGGTATATTTTACAATTATCCATACATGGTACTTATCCATTAATATTTAATGATTTAATGGTTTTTATTGTGAATTGTGAATGGCCTTGATGCACTCTCTGCTAAACTCAATTATTTATTTGGTCACTTTACCACAAATCACTGCAGTACAGTACAGTTGAGTGTGGATGAGTTCAAAAATACACATAACTAAATGACACTGTTACTCATGAATCTTAAAATAAGACAAGATTCTTTTTAAGATTGTAAATGACTGTCTGGTCCACAAAAATACCAAATACTCGAGTAGCAGCTTACTCATAGGTAAACATTTAACATTTCCAAAATGGTGGTAACATCACATTTTGAAAACGCAAAACGAATGAAGGAAGTTAAGTTTGTGCGTCCATTCATAGCTAGTTAGAAAAATAATAAAATTTTTTTATAGCCTACATTTTAATCGCAATTTCAGTTCTGAGAGTCCGAAGCGATGACTGTCTGGATGTAGGGGTTATTAAGTCTTATAATTTCACATCCAGTAAGTTTAATTATTTATTTATTTATAGCAGGAAGGAAAAAGATATATTTAAATGAATATAGGAGGGAATAATACATTGCCAAGACTTTTCAAGACATTGATTGATAAAGATAGGAATGAAGAAATACATTTTTTTAAAACTTTACATTGCAACCTCAAAGTAAAATTTTGTTTATAAAGTTTGACAAATCCAATGAAGCAATATGTAATTAGTTCTGTGGCTTAAAATCTTTTATTTTTCTTAACTTCTCATTGTTTGTAATTTGTCAATATTGATGTAATTTAAAACTAAAGTGTAATGTTTTTGCCACATTTTATTTCAATAAGATAGAGAGGGGGAGTGGGAGATTTTTATATCAATCAATTTGACATAGAGACAGGGTCACTGTGCCTATTTTTTACTGTTGTATTTTTTCTTAAGCAACTTCAGATGATTTCAATATAACCTTCTTGACCTGAAATAAAATGTTTTTTTTTGCAACAAATGTTATTTTATTTTATTTCATCCAGGTGGCGATGCAGTGCTTCAAGTTGAAGTGTTTTCTGCAAGGAGAAGCTTGCTAAGGGAACTATTTTCCATAAATTATTTTTTTTGCAATTTATCTCAGACATCAATTATATCGCTGATACAGTACTTTTTTATTGTTTTCGATGAAATGATTTTTATTTTTATAAAAAAACATTTTCTTGTATTTTTTCCCACTTTTCAATGCCACCAAAGAATATGAATTGCTAAAGATAAGTATTGTGACAACACTTATCACACTTTTTGTTAACAGAAAACATTAATTAGAAAAATAAATTTAAGGTTTTTTGAGTGCTTCCCGGATTCTTCTCTGTCTACAGCTTCTGTATACCTTAAATGGATGAAAAATTACAAACCTCTTTTCTACAGGTCAGTTTTCAGACACACTGTTTAAACTTTATGATTTTGAATTTAAATTATGAAATGACGTGTTAAATATTTAATGGTAATTACATTAAATTGTAATTTTTTCAGGGGTAACACGTTATCATACTTTACTTTCTTCCTACATGGAGCACTCGATGAAGATGACCAAGAGGAGGTGTCTAAGTCTGCATGGAGATCAACACACAAGTTCTTCACAGTGACCTCACTAACTTTTTACTGATTTAGTTGTTGCCGACCAAAATGCTTTTTTTCAGATACTATGGCAGACTTTAATTTTGATGCTTTTTTGGACGAGTTTGATAAGACACCTACTGCTTTGTTCCACAATATCAAGTTAGTATTTCAGATCTATTTTTTGGTTTTGAGTTTTAGTTTTCTGGTTCTGAATTTTTTCTATCTGATAATTTTCTGGGCAGTATGCTTCAAACTAAAAGAAATATTCAAAGTAATGCATACATCAATAGTTAGTATGAAAAGATTACAAGAAATTGTGTAATTTTAACTGTATCCTTAGAAGTCTTGAAAGCTTTTTTTCTGGGGGGGGGGGCTCTATTTAAAGAGGGACAGGCCCAATTCACAAAATTCTTTTAAAAAAACTTGTATCTGTTGTTTTTCCCCAAAATGAAGAAATTATTAAAATTGTTAACTTTTCAGTCATGAAAGTACAGAATATTAATAAGATAAAGGGTTTTAATGTAAAAATGTTAATCGGGCATGCTTCTCCTAACTTTGAGAGCCAAATAAAATAACACTTTCAGTTCCATAAAGTAATAATTTAGGAGCTCTGACACACCCGGTGCACAGCCTTATCCATTAATAATTCCGCAGTGTACTATTATTCCAGTTACAAAGAGGTCAGCATAGAAGTTTACTTTGCCAATACAAGAGTCATTTATTACGTTATTGGATACTTTTTGGAATATAATTAATTGATCATATTCAATCATTTTGTTTGTGGAAGTTGTGATCCAAAGTTTTAAATGTATGAAAACTTATTCAAATTTTTGTATTTTTTAAGTATGCCTTGCCTTAACTTTATTATTTCTTGAAATTCGTTTGAAAATTGTATGATTCAGGTTCAGGTTTCAAGATGTTTCATATGTGATTGAAGTGGATAACTGTCTAACTGTGTTTCTCAATAGTGTCAAGTAAGAAACTTCTGTTAAGATTAATCATCAATTAATTCACTGCTTTTGACTAACTTTAATGTTATTTAATTATTCCTGTAGATTTATTATTTTTCATACGGTAATGCTCAATGCCTACCATTCATTTATTTTTTCAATCCATTCTTTAAGATTTACTAATTTTGTATCCAATGAAAAATTTGCTACTCTTTTTCTTCTTCTTTTCACTTATTTTGACGATGAAACTTACTAATTATGAAATATTAGGAAGTTTTATCAATCTCTTTTTACTCAACAATTTTGAATTGTCTTATGAAAGCAAGTCTCTAGACTGATATTTTTACTCTTGGATATGGATCTGTGTTCATATTTTTACGGATCAGGATCCGGATTCAGGAAGCAAATATGTTGCCTAATATGGTTTCCAACATAATAGATTATTCTCTTACGCGTAATTACGTGCAGTTTCGCGTAATAATTTTCATTTCGTGTAATTTCGCAGGATTACGCGTAATTGGGGAAATATCCATTTCGCGAAATTACGGCGTAATTTCGTGTAATTTCTACAACGTAATTTCGCTGAATTGTTACGTAATACGTAATTTCGCGTAATTACTCCTTAATTACGCGAAACTAGACTTTCTTTCGTAAAGGTAATATATGCATAATTACGCGTAATGCTCCTGCGTAAGTGAAAGAAAGTGTTACGTTTCGTTACGCGTAGTTACGCGTAACGAAATTACGACTGGAAACCCTATTGCCTAAGCAAGGGTAAATTATATCCGAATATGGATCCCTTATATTAGCACACATTTTCTTTAAAGTCCTAAAGTTAATTCTTACTGTCTTTACTCTTTACTTGTGAAATACAAATTAAATGTTCTTCCTTTTAGGGTCTTTCAGTTTGCAGGTGAAACTCTGGTTCATTCCATTCTGGTGAGTTAATTTGTAAAACGACTAACTTTTATTCATTATGGGATCTTATTCTCAATTGTGAATAATTAAGATTATTTTCATACAATTAGCTTAATAATACATTTTTTAAATAATTCTTTAATCAAGTAATTCCAAAAACTTTGGCATATTTATTTTGTTTAAATTCAAATTAGTTTCCCAAGGAACTTCCCTTCCTGAAAACCTTTGTCAGAGCAAAAATTATGAAGATATGAAAAGTAATTTGTACCTAATTTAATGAATTGAGAGAAATAAATGATTTAAAAGGGACGAAATAATTTATGGTTTTAAGCAGTGCTTAGGATCCAATTAATTTTGATGCGGATCCGCACTGGAAAAAAATGAATCCTGATCCAGATCCAGGTTATTTCTTTAGAATTTATTGAAATTTTGTGACAGAGCAAAATTTTCAATATTTTTGTCTTATTTTTTTGCTTGTTTTTTGCTTAAACTTATTGCACCATTCAAAAATCAGGAAAGTTTTATAATCTCTTTTATTCAATAGTTCAGATTTTGGTTTTAAGAGTAAAATTTTATATGCTTTCAGTTTTTGGTTGATATTTTGCCCCTTCCATCCGGATGCAGGAAGCCAAAAACTTGCGGATCAAACGGATCCGGATTCTAAGCACTGGTTTTAAGGAGAAGAAAAGGAAAAACCTTTTCATTTAATTTGATCACATTGTGATTTTTATTTTTTAGGTTTCCTCACCAAAACAAGTTGGAGCAGTCAAAGAATCTGACCCACTGTCCACATCGGTAAAGTTAAAATAATATTTATTCCATCATGACAAAAACATTCTAAAATTATTGTTTTTTCCAATTTTTCAATTATAAGATTCAATTTATTATCATGTATTATTTGGTCTGAAATGAAGATTATTTGATGAGGGATTTATCATTCTTCGACTTTTGTAAAATATCCACAAAATGTTAAATTAAATAATTGAATTAACAATAAGTTGATTTCACAAAAAGTTGCAGTTTTAGTCTTTGTTAAAGATTATTCTTCTAGGATATGTCAATCGATGCGACTGAGACCGAAGAGTCATTACCAGACCTTGACTCCATGGATGACATGAGTGAGACAGAAGAACTTCACAGCAGAAAACTTGAGGGACAACCTGGCACAGCCGAAGGCAGAGAACCTGAGAGACAACCTGGAGCATCAGTTGATGGAGAAATGGACAGAGAAGTGAGCATAGTACTTGGTGGACAACTTGAAGAGAAAAAGGTAATGTTCAAAGTTTGGTCATGTGTTTGGGGCAGAGATGTCAAGGGTTATAAGTGTAATATTTACCTTGTGATTGCTTAACCCTTATATTACTAGCAGTGCTTAGCATCTGGATCCGTTGGTTCTGCAAGATTTTGGCTTCAAGAATCTGGATCCAGATCAACACAAATATGCAGATTCACAGATCCAGATCCAAGGGGCAAATATTAACTAAAAACTGCATAAATAAATTTACTCTTAAACCCCAAATCTGAACTTATGAAAAAAGAGAGATTATAAAAATTTCCTGATTTCTGAATGGTTTATCAAGTTTAAGCATAAAAATAAGAAAAAAAGAAATAAGTCGAATAAGTTGACAATTTTGCTTTGTTAAAAAAATTCATTAAATTGTTAAGAAATAACCTGGATCTGGATCCAGTTTTTTCAGTGCGGATCCAGGATCCGGATCCGCATCATAATTAATTGGATCTTAAGTACTGTTTACTACATACAATTGTTTAGACAACAAGAATTCAATATCTAAGTTGTATTTTGTTCTCAAGCACATGTGCATTGTACAAAACGTATGCCATATTATTCAATCTTCACAAACATTCGTTTAACATTTAAGATTTACATGAAAGCATATGAAAAATGAAAGAATAATTAAAATAAATTAGTATGGTTGACTAATGAGGATGACGATTCAATTCATTGTCTCTTATGTGTCTTATGTAAACAAAAATTCCCCTGAAGGCGAATTATAATTTCTGTATTTTAGTTCAAGACTTCAAGTGAGTTGTACGAGACACTAAAGGCAACTGTCGATGATGAAATAACGAGCAAACTCAGCTCTCGCCAGATGATGTTTGTGAGAGAAAACAAAGGAATTACGGTAAACAAGTTTGGGTTTTCACAAACATACATTTTCTTTTCACTATACCTTCGCAATCTGATTGGTTAACCTTTGATATTTAAAACTATTTGATCTTACAAAATTCATATAGAAATAACTCATGGGTTGCAAAGATAAAGAGAAAATAAAAATCAGAGTTGGTTACAAAATACTGTTCCTTAGTCAAGTTCACAACTTAAGAAACTACCTAATATTTGGTGTAACCTTTGTAAGATTATATTACTAAATCATGGGTAGAAGGAGAGTGTTAAGATAATATCTTTGCTTTGAAATGAATACCTGTTGTATTTTATTCTATTAGTCAATTTCATTTCCCCCTCCCACCCGTCCAGCCCTTCAATTTTTGTTAATTTCACTGAAAAAAAGGATGCAGTTTTAGAGGCTAAACAATTTTGTTTACTTAATGCACAGTATAAAAAATTGAGTTAATAATTTTCCTGTCAATGGATATATAATTTTTGGAATGCGTTTGAATTGGGGTTTATAATTTACTTATTTCCCAAAAAAAAGAACATTATTTCCGAATTATAATTTGGGGAAATGTATCAAAAGTGAATGAAGCATTTCTTGGTTAGTTGAAGCAAAGGAGAAATTATCACTTTCTGCTTCAGAAAGCAAACTTCTACATTATGCTCAGATTACCGTTTTACATTGCCAATGTAACATTTGTAATATTTTAAGGGTATGAATTATACTATGGAACATATTGTATTCCAAAATTAAAAATTAGGTTGAGAAAGTTCAGGAGTTCAAACAGCTGTGAGATGACATAGTTAATAAAGTGATCAGTAAGTTTTACTAATTATAAGAAAAAGTTTAGTAACTAAGGTAAACAAAGTTTATAACTGTTTTACATTCTTTTTCTGTTGTCATTGATTATAACTATTATTTTGAATGTTTTATGAGGGGTTTAAATTATTTGTAAATATCCCGTTTTTATCATATTTTTCCCGCATAGTCACTGTTTATAACAAAATTTCTCACCAAAAGTTCTGCATTTTGTTTTGTTTGAGCCAAAAATAGCAGATAGAAAATGAATTCATTCCTTTTTTCATTTTTCCTTTTAACTCTTTTGTCTTCCCTTGTTCCCCTTTTTCCTTTCCTTTCCTTTCGTGGTAAAAAAAATCATGTTTAATGGTATAAAATGTTCCCTTTTACCCTTCCTCCTCTTCCCTTATCCCATTACTTTTAAATTTTTTTATCTCATACCCCTTAAAGCGCTCATATTTTTGGCTTCCCCCTCAGCCGGGAGGGGTGGGGTAAGCTAAAAAATATTCACCCCTGGTTGTAATTTTTACATTTTTTTCAGGGTACGTAGGAGAAAACTGGCCATATAGAACATTTGTCATCAGGCAGGATTATTTCACCAGCATTCTAAGCAACATTCTTGTCCCATTGTATCCTAAGATGTTTGCGTACGAGCCAGGTACATCGATTTAGTTATAGTTTATACCAGTGATTAGGATCCATTTAATTTTGATGCGGATCCGGATCCTGGATCTGCACTGGAAAGAGATGGATCCTGATCCAGGACGTGATTTCTAAAATAATTTAAAAAAAGTTTTAACAAAAATAATTTTAAAAAATTTTTATAAATTTTTTTGCTCATTTTTTGTCTAAAACTTGAACCATTCAGAAATCAGGAAATTTTTAAAATCTCTCTTTTTTCATTTGTTCAGATTTTGGTTTTAAGAGTAAATTTTTTTTGGCAGTTTAAGGTTGATATTTTGCCCCTTTGATCCGGATCCATGGATCCGCCTATTTTTGCGGATCCGGATCCAGGAACCCAAATTCTTGCGGATCAAACAGATCCGGATCCTAAGCACCAGACTTTTTACATGCACAAAACTAAAATTGGGAAATATTTTTTTTGTTTAAACATTAAAAGCATTTCCATTAAGTATTCAAATATTTATAGAAATTGAGGAAGTGGATAAGGCTGGAGTCTCGACTAAAAGACTGTTATTGTCGACTGTAAGAACCCTACCAAGAATGATGCGTATGCGGGTAAGTCTTTTTTGATTTTTTAACTCCAATTTAATTAACTGAGATCATCTAAAGTATAGATAATACATTTAAAAGCAGTATACAGTGTTAAGAGGGGTTTCGTGTAAAAACTAAATTTGTTTAAAATGAGATACATTAAAATATCAGTGGTACAATTTAAACCTCATTACCCTTTCATGCAAGTTTTTTTCAATTGAGACAAATTTATAAAATATTTAGCTGCTCAGCAAGTTCGATACAAAGAAGGACCGAAGGAGAAATATTCTTCAATTTTCCACAAACCAGGGAGCCAAAAAACACAAGAAGAAATTCGCACTGCCCTGCAGCCCTCCAAAGCATGCTGGAGAGGTAATGCCTTTTTAATTCAATTACATTTATTTCCCTTAACCCTAAAATTACTTCTACTGAGTTATAATGTAAATTAGTTCTTATTGATTGGATCCGGATCGGATCTTGATAAATGGAACTTGAACTGGATCTAGGTCATGATGATTTATTTCAGGATTTTTAAAGCAATATAATAATTTTCATAATATTTTTCTTAGCTATTGAACTATTCAGAAATAAAGAACGTTTTTCTAGCAAAATCGATTTGGGTTTGAGGATTTGCCCCTCGGATCTGTGGATCCAAGGTGCAAATTTGGTGCCAGGAAGCTTAAATGTTGTTGACCAAATGGATCCGGAACCTAAGCACTGCCATGTCATTTTAAATAGTAAATAAATCCTTTTAGTTTGATCTAACCAAAGCAGAGAAGCTGCAGAACGCCTCTGGAAGCTCCAGAGAAATAGAGAGAGTTTCCGAAGTAACAAGAGTTGTCCTGCAGTTTAAGTTAAGGTATATAATTTCATCAGAAGTTTTGAGGGAACAGATTTGATAAATAGGGAGACATATTAGAAAAAATTGTATGTATTTTTTTGAAGTTGATCCCAAGTATAGCAATAAACTAACGCATGGGCTTAACTAAAGGCATTGCATTTGTGTAGTGATATTGTGTCTGTTAAAAATATATAATATTTTAGGCAACATGCAGTTCTCACCGATACCAAGGAATTAAGATCTTTCTTAGTTCAAGTACCTATGTGAAGTCTCATGTAGGTTATTGAAATCGTTTCCACATTAGTAGAATTAATTGTGTTAAATATTTAAAATAAAATCAAGATTTTGACATATTTAATCTAATTCATTGCTTCCGTTCTGTTTTATTTAGAAAATAGAATTTTTTAAATTTTAGTTTTACTGGTTGTATGGCGAGGATATCGAACAGAAAATGAGAGACGGTTGGGACATGTTCATAGGTATAAATTACAATTTATTCTTTGATTGAATTGTGGCTGTTATATTTATTTATGTAAAGAACTTTAACTCTTTAACTTAATGTTTCTTTGATAAATAAAAAAAATGGGTTTTATATTTTAAAACGGTTCATAGAATCCATTTTATTTCATGAAGATTCACCCTTGGAATAAAAAAGAATTAAAAATAATATTTCTTGAAGATTTACTTAATTTTATATCTTAAGGGAACATTTTCAAATTATAAGTTAATTAAATCAAATTGAAGTATATATTATAGTTTTGAGATATTTGTTTTTCTTCTGTTTTTAAATGTTTTGACCCTTGGATTCGGATTATTTGACCAGTAAGATCTGCACATTTCTCAGAACCAGGGAAGCCAAAATGATGATGGTTCAAAGATGCCTGATTTGGATCCTAAGCACAAGATTATTAGACTTATCATTTACTATAGGTAATGTGCTGAAAAACTTGCTATTTCTGAGTAACGACACTCCGTCATGTAGAGCCGAGATTGATACCCTGGAACTTGAAGCAGGAATGGTGGGAAAGGTAACAAGAGAAACAATAAGACCAACAATTGAAGCTTTTTTGGTTTATTGTTTTGAAAAAATCATTTTTAGGAGGAAATAAATGAATTTTTTGGTAAAAATTGTCAAATTTGATTTTTGATATAAAATTTTAATATCATCCAACTAACCTCCCCTTCCCGGCAGGCTGAAGTGGTGTAACTCTTATAACATAGATCTATTTAGGGATTTTTGTGGTTTTATATCCTACAAAAAGTCGACTTTAACTGG